CCAAACTGATCAACCGTCAACAGTGGAACTGGGAGCCACATCACTCATTAGTACCAAACTGATCAACTGTCAACAGTAGAAGGGGGAGCCAAATCACTCATCAGTACCAAACTGATCAACCGTCAACAGTGGAACTGGGAGCCACATCACTCATGAGCACCAAACTGATCAACTGTCAACAGTAGAAGGGGGAGCCAAATCACTCATGAGCACCCAACTGATCAATCGTCAACAGTGGAACTGGGAGCCACATCACTCATTAGTACCAAACTGATCAACCGTCAACAGTGGAACTGGGAGCCACATCACTCATCAGTACCAAACTGATCAACTGTCAACAGTGGAAGGGGGAGCCAAATCACTCATCAGCACCAAACTGATCAACCGTCAACAGTGGAAGGGGGAGCCAAATCACTCATGAGCACCCAACTGATCAACCGTCAACAGTGGAACTGGGAGCCACATCACTCATTAGCACCAAACTGATCAACCGTCAACAGTGGAACTGGGAGCCACATCACTCATCAGTACCAAACTGATCAACCGTCAACAGTGGAAGGGGGAGCCAAATCACTCATCAGCACCAAACTGATCAACTGTCAACAGTGGAACTGGGAGCCACATCACTCATCAGTACCAAACTGATCAACTGTCAACAGTGGAACTGGGAGCCACATCACTCATCAGTACCAAACTGATCAACTGTCAACAGTGGAAGGGGGAGCCAAATCACTCATCAGCACCAAACTGACCGTTATCAGTGGAAGTGGGATTGATTCCAATCTTCAACAGATTTCTCCTTTTCTCCATCTCTTGCTTTTTCAATTTTTTTTTCGGGGGGGGGGGGAAGGCACCCTCCATCCCTTGCAAGACCCATGTATAGTATACAGCCAGTGACAAGTTTTTGGCTGTCACTCAGTGCATCAATTTACTAGGTATTTTTCTGCCTAACAACCTTAAGAACTACAGTTTCTGCTGTGATCAGTTAATCGGCCAAACTTTGGTC